TCCTCATTAGTTGAAGAAGATACTGTGGACTTGTTGAACTTGCTTCCTAAATTCTACCTGAAAATTTTGTGCATGTATGGATTGCAAGAGTAAATCAAACACTTCTTGTATGCACTTACGTGTAAATGATACTATTTTACATGATGTTTTTACAGGAGTCATGTGGGTTAGGAAAAAATGGAAGCAGTCTAGATTCCAAAGAAGTTATGGGGATGACAGACTGCTGTTAAGTCCGTTGACTTTATCTTTTCACTTCCAGCTTCATGGCTGCACTCAGCACCATAAAAGGATTTAGTTTGAAACTTCTTGAACACAGCCTGTCTTTATTCATAAGCAATGTTGTAGATGATGATACTGTGGATTCATCTAATGTCAGAATAACATTCTATGGCTTTATTACTTTCTTAGTCTCCTATTTCTGCTTTAATTTGACATCTATCTATTCTCATTTGGCATTTAGATGACAAATGAATATAACTGTGTATAGCTATGAGTACTGATGGGAAATGCAACTGAATGCAGGGACAACTTTTTTTTCCTGTTCTACTTGAAAAAAAGTGTTTTATGCTTTGTATTTGCAGTATGTTTTATGTCCACTAGGGCTTTTTTTCTTCTCATTAGTTAAGCATGATCCTTTCTAACACTGGGAAGTTATGGTCAGTAATGCCTTATGCTCTCTGGTGTCATTTTGGCCTTTGCAACTGGGCATGGTGCAATTTGGAACACCAGCCAGGAACCATTCCTGAAGGCGGAATGAATTTAATCGCAGTGTATAGCTCCCACATATGACAGGATAGGGCTGAGAAATTTTAATAATGGGGACATAAATCATTCCAATCTAGTGATATTTTGAGAAAGAATGGTTAAGGGCACATTTCGTTTATAGATAGAAACCGTGCCAATGTGTCTTTTTGAAGTTTATATCATACACTTAAATATATTATCTTGGCAAACCGGGAAGAACTCCCTGAAATCTGAATCTATGCTACTCATAAAAGACAGTGTAAAGTACTATGCTTAGTGAAATAGAAAAGAAAATGCTCACAAAAAGAGAGGAAACATCATTCTTGCCAAATCCTAATGACATCAGGAGAGAGGAATGGTAGAAAAAAACGTAATGACAAAGATAAATTGCACAGGGATACACAGCGTGATGCTGATGTAATGCTGTAATGCATGTTGCCTATTGTGAGAAGAAGTACATTGAATTATTTTAGGCTTGAGTCAGTGCGAATAATTTAGATGCCTCTGAAGGCCACCATATGGTGACCTTTATATATACATATATATATGTGTGTGTGTGTGTGTGTGTGTGGATATGTATGTCTACTTCGCTCTTGAATCTATGGGGAACTTAGGCACTTAAGGGCAATTTAGGAGGACTTGTTCAAATCCTCCCTTTTCTCCCCAGGGCACTGAAAATTGTAAGTCACATTGTAGCTAACCTTCAGTTCATTCTGCATTGCTTAACTCTCAAACTGACGTGTTCACTTTCAGGCTTGTCAGCTTAAAGAGACGTACAGTATAGATTTCAGAAGAGTACAATAAAATGCTGATTTTTATTTTTTTTTTAAGCAAAAGAAGAAAAGAAGATCTGAGAAGAAATGATAGTTGCATATGAATACGTAAGGAATACTTACAAAAATGAAAGGAATCAAATACTAGGATTACGAAGAGTGGTACCAAAATTATTAGCTTAAAGTGAATGTGAATATGGAGAATGTGGATTTGCTACAAGAATATGCATGCAATTAGAATGAATTCTTGATGAAGAAATTGGCAATATTCTTAGGGAGTACGTATGACTTAGATAAAGGATAATTTAGGAGTTACTTAATCAGAACTAATACAGTACTTAATTATAACAGCTCTTTCAAAATGAAATGTTTCATGGTTCTCTGACTAGAAGAACGATGCCATGTATTATTCCTAGTGTATTCAGGTAGATAATACAGTTGCAATAGTACAGAAAGAGGAAGATATTTTTCTGTTCTTATTCTACTCATGGGAAAACTGACTTTGGTATTTCTATGGTACATTGTAGAGTGAACCTTGGCACTTTTTATACTGTGTTGTAATAATTAAAAAGCATTGTTTCTGTAGTAAATAACAGCAACCAGAGATAAAGTGGCAACTTCGACACACTGTGCCACGGGTCTGTTCCTGGCACTGAAACAATTGTCAGCACTTAGTACAGAAATCCAAATATAAGTCAATTATTTGCCACAGAAAACTGATGTCAAAAAGCTTGCTTGATACAAAAGAGAATCCTTGTCAGTCACATGTTTAATGTAAAGCATGTGTTGATTATGGTCAGTGCTTAAACTGACTTAAACTTTCATATAAAGAAAAAATAGAAATTGTCTATGTTTAGGGCTATCCTTTGAATTGAGACTTGAATACCTGTTCTTAAGAACTGTAATTCTTTTTTCAGAGAATCGGCTGAGTCCACAGGTGGAATATAAATCTCAGAGCATTCAATAGCACAAAGGAATTATGATTTCAATGGCTGTCACAAGGTGTCAACAATTGTATCATTGCCATATGAAAATATTTACAGAAGCACGTTCAGTGTGAACTCCTGGTGGGATCAGCACACTTCCAGAAGCACATAGGCACAAAATATCAATGAGATCTTAAAAATAGAATGCATATTTTTTATTAGGTGTGCACTTTCATATTTTGAAATTAAGCTAACAAAAGTGGCAATATGCATCAAAGAATAAAATTTTTTCAAAGAAGAATGTTCAAGTTGTTGATATGGAACTCAGCACTGTGTTCAAATTTGAAAAGTGATGCTTTTGTACTTAAGGGCAAAGGGCAAAACCCTTTTTTTCCCTAAGTAATATTATTTCCCCTAAAGTGATATTATTCATTGTGTCCACTAGGTTATGGTCAGTGCAGTGTCCACCGCTGTCAAATCGGGCTTGGCTGGTAATCACTGTCTCTTGCATTGTCTTAAATGAATATGATCAGTTTGAAATGGGTAAAAAGTAGTGTGGGTATCTGGATCATGAGTTCAAGTTCATTCAAGTGTTCTGTATGGGGTACGCAGGTATGAAGCACAGTTAAGTGAAGATTCATTCAACTAAAAGAACAATTCACGAGGAATAGATATGATAAAATTATTTTCCTATTTGTGTACCAAAGTACCATGGAATTGAAGAAGTCAATCTCTTATAATGCTGCTAATAGAATTTTCATGAAATTTTATTAGCAATGTCTTAAAATACTCGTTTGAATAATAGTTTGTTTAAAAACAAAACAAAACAAACCACAAAACAAACAATCAAAAAACCACAATGGATTGCAAAAGATGCGGAATTGGGACCTGCAATGACTGGCATACTTTTTTCATGCACAGAACATGAGTGGTAGGAGAGTAATCTTCCCCATCCTACATCCCCCAGCTGCGTGTCTCACCCTTAACCCAAATACACCACTACAAAGGATGAGGGAGCTGTAATAGTTTACTCTGCATTCCCACTCACTTGTTGACCTCTTTCCAAAATCTGCTTGCTTATAGCTAAATTAGAGCTCCACTGAAGCTGACAGGTTGCATTCTGCCGCTGCTGAAAGCATGATCTCTATTCAATGAGGCTGAGTTAAATGAAACAAGAATTTTTTCTTTTTTTAAAGAAGATAAAGAAACATGCATTGAATTTTTGCATAGAAGCTTATCTGAAAGCACGTGGGAAGATAAATAGTACCAAGAGATTACTTGCAATGAGTAAAGAGAATTTGGAGCTGAAATAGAGAGACGAGAGTTCATACATTTTCCCCATTCTCCTGTTGCAGAGCTTTCTTTGATGTAGACGAGACTTTTAGGTTATGGTATCTTCTTTCTCTTAAGTGCAGGGTCATCGGTAGTATTTCTTTAACTGCAGCAGCACACAGAATTCCATATTCTTTGGAGATCTTACTAGCTAGGAGTTCTCTAGACTGGTGGCACTTAGAAGAAGTCTGCAGTCAATCTGTTACAGCAGGTAGAATGCTGTGGGACATTTTGGAGCTCCTAAATGTAGTACAGAGAAGGTGGCAATAATTATAAAAGGTACAGCATGCATGTTCTTTTGCTGCTTTGATTGCCAGCAGTGGAGGAAGGCAGTGGGCTTTCTCTCTTGTGCTAGTTAGATTAGCAAGCAATGCTAAGCAGGAGAACTCTTTTTATTCTGAGAGTTTGAAGGTCTTCCAAGTACATGCAATACTTTCCAGGGTTTGCCAGAAGAAGAAATGTATATTGCTTTAGTTCCGGCTGTGAGGTAATAGTCTGACAGCGTTTGGATGCAATAGGATGATTCACTATGGGGTGGAATGAAGATTTATTTATAAGGGCTTTACAGTATTTTCTGTTCATTTCTGATTCATAAGCTAGGAATAATCAAGGCATATTTTATTTTCTACTTTCTGTTTCTTATGTTAGCATTTTTCTGTTCACCTACCACTGATTTATTTTCACGTCTTCTCTCATCAACCTACAGAGAACTAGCTCATCACTGTGAATGGGAGGCTTGCTAATGAGTATGGTGGGATAAGTGAACCTTAATATATTTTTGCTGTGTTTATTTCCTGTTTTTATTGAAATTCTGTATAAATTTCATGCATTAAACATTCTTACCGTAATGCTCAAAACCTTAGTTAAGGTCCTTGGAGAAGAATCAATAGTAAGTACAGCATAAATCATGTATCCTAAGAATTTTAATTGGAATACATGTGATTATTTAATAATCCTGTTCACCTCAACCCCTGTGAGAATGTATACGTATATACAAACAGTACATTAAAAGTATTAGGAAATGGCTCATCATTAAAACCCTCTTTCTAACATCCATACTCACACAGACTTGAAGCTTCCCTATGCACTTGGTCTGAGAATTTGCAACAGGAAATAAAATAAAGATGAAAGAGAGAGCTGAGATCTTGAAGGAGAATTAGGCACCAGAAATTATGGTGTTCTTGTTCCAGCTCTTACACTGACTCTGATACTTCCATTTCTGTAGCATTTGCCATCTCTGGATCTCAAAGTGGATTATAAAGAATAGTGATTTAAACCTTCCTGCACCTCTAGGAGATAGGTAAGCAATATTATTCCCATTTTACAGATGGAGAAATTGTGATACAGAGAGGCTTAGTGTTTATACTTGGAGTTTACTTATGGACACACACTCACTTACACACACAGCACCAGAATTAGTTGTCAGAACTTTTATTGCCCTGTTTTAAAGTACTTCCATCCTCCTTTCCATTTAACCTCTCTGACTTATATTCCCCATCTGTAAAAAGACGGAAACTGGTACAGACGTGGAGAGATTTCCCTGCACATAGATCTCTGTGCAAATACTGTGAAAAAAACCCAGACAAATAAGCAAAAAAAAACCACCTTGGAGGACAAAACTACTTTTGAAATCCAAAGTATTTGGTATGTTGGCAGAGGATATCTGAGCACTTGGGACAAGGATTTTTGTAGGTGGAGAGAGTTGCATGTGTTCTGCACCCTGACTCATACTATTTAGTTATTACTATAAAATGGCCTGATATAAGCACATTGATAAAAGTTTAAAATAATAATTAAAAAAAGTAGATTTTCATGGCAAAAGATTAGACAGGCAGCAGCTCAGATTCTGTATTATCTGAAAGAATATCTTTAACAAATGTTGTGTGTCTCAAGTGCCAGGCTAATAACACCAGTGCACTGTTAGACAGGAGTAGAAAGAAAGTAGTGCTGCGTGTCTGTATAGTTTTGTCTCATGAAAGTCCTGTGTATGTACTGCAGTATGAGTTTCTCAATGGCAGGCAGCAATCAAGACCTCTGTACTTATGTATTTACAAGAGCATTAAAATTATTAATGAACTTCTGGAAAAAGTAACGAGGATCAAATATAGATCTTGTTATTATTATTGGAATTACTGTTTCTTGTTATATTTAAAATATATTCTTATAAAGTTGTCTAGAAATTTGATTGGTCTGATCCTATACTATCTCAAAACATCATGAAGATTCTGATCTCCTTAATCTTAACTACCAATTTAAAAAACTCTTCCTGGAGCTTTTAAAAATCCTTCTGCATTCTGCTGCTAATTTTCTACAAAATGAAATTTCAAAACTGTAATAGATATTTTAATGTTAGTGTTAATAACAGATCTGGCAGGTGTATGTGCACTGAACAAGTAGCTTACAAATAAATGTTAACATTTTTCTGTATGCATCCCATGGGATAGGTAGGCTAGATCAAACAAACAGTGCCCATGTTGACTTTTTTCTGTGAGTGAAGTAAAGTCATTGTGATACAGGGATAAACCTCATATGTTTATTAGTGCCGTGTATCCATAGGTAATAAATATGGCTCATGTGTATATTTGTTAAATGGAACGGAGACTGGATCTGTTTGTTACATGCAGGCATGCTTATATGGATGGCTTAGTTCAAGCTTTTGTTTTAGTTGTAACACTCCACAGGAATACACAGAATTTCAGGTAGAGAATTTAGTTGATTTGAAGCTAAGGTAAAAGCTGATTTTAACATTTCAGCTTTACTGAACAAGAACAACAATGAAGGCTATACTAATAATGGCACTAATAATGCTTCAGCAACTGAGCCAGTTCCTCGTCTCAACTTCGCGTGCAACTGAGATCAGAATTTAACCCAGGGTCTTTCTGAGTGCTATACAAATCATTTGTTACCTTTGCTCCCAATTACAGTTAAAATAAGCAGTGTCTTGAGATAATGTAGCCAGCACAGCTGGTGGATTAGGATATGGGTTTGCTAATGCATTGACCTTTTTCATTTGTGTAACACGAGTTAATTTCCAGTCTAACAGTAAATGCTGAAATTTTAATTGTAGCACTAATGTACCATTTTTTCATCTCTCTGTCAAACCAGACTAAAGGGTCATTTGGTGATGAGGATAATGGTTCACTTTGAAAGGAAGGAAAACCAGCTTCTGAATCTGGGGGATTCTAGATCTTGCTTCAAATAACAAGACGAACTAGGAAAAAATAGGCTTGGAAATTCCTGTTATATTGAACCTACAAGTCTGACTATTTGCCTTGTTCTTGTACTGTTTCTATAGAGGCACACTGGAATACTTGCCATGATGTGTTAGACAGAATAATAAAACAACATGAGAAGTTTGGTTTTCAGACTATCAAGCCTCAAAAAGACTTTTCTGTGAAAAAATGAATCAACATTAAACTGTTTGCTACAATGGGAATTTTAAGCAACAGTTTGTGACAAGTTTTGATTATCTCTCTACACTTTAAGAAATTCTAAACCTAAGAACTGTTGGGGACTGATTTTTTCCTTTTTCTCTCAGAAGTGTCTTTTTTTCTTTCCTGCAGCACGGAAAAGGATATGCTAGTCACTTCTACAGGACTTACCTGAAGCAGCATGATTTGCACAAAAGTCGACCAACAAAAAGCATCAACTTTCAACTTCATTATCTTGGCCATCCAGTTCTGTCTAACTGAAGGATTTGTGTGCTGTTGGAGACATCATGGCCAACAATAGGACCTAATTGCTCTCAGCAGGCCTGAGAAATGAGTTGAAATGTGTAGAACTGTAGAAACTTCAGAGGCAACTGATCTTGCCTCTCTGATCAGTGTGTGCCTGTTTACAGCACTATATATCTTTCTCTCTCCAAAATGTCACTGAGCCCTTTAGATGTTTATAATCACCACAAGAAGCCAATCGTACAGATAAAAGAAATGTGCATTATAAATGCAATATCACTGTTTTAAACTTGACTGTTTTATATTATTTTTGTGTGATCAAGTGTTCCCCAAACTATTCCAACTTTACAAGAGAGATTGTGATCATGTTCTTTTCACCCGTGGGTCACAAACAATGTTGTTAATCTGAAGACCCACCAAATTATCGAAGACATTCTGTAGTTTATACACCGTGTTGCAAAGTGTTTACTGTACTATTTCAAAGCTTCTAAATAAATATAAAATATATATATATTATATTATATATAATTTTGAGAAAAATGTGGTACAACTTAGTTGATTTTTAAATGGATTCATACAGTCTACACCATACACTAAAATGAGAAGGTAATTCAGGGTTCCTAAGCTATCCTTGCTAAAAACAAATATAAAATAAACCTTTAATAGTACTTCCCCAATATTCGTATCTTGGTCAATCCTGTTTTTCTTGTTTAAAAAAAAAGAAAAAAAAGAAAAAAAAAAAAAAAAAAGAGCTGTAAGCAACAACAACATTTTGTCTAAAAGTTGTAATGAATTTTCAATGCCAAAGATGCAGCTGTCAATATTACCAGAATGAGCGCTATGTACTATCAGAGGTATAATTCACTCTCCATTATTTTGATGGTATTTCTATGCTTTTTAATTTGGAATCATAAAACCTTTTATAAGGCTCTATAAGCTCACCTATATATGTTGTTGAAAAGAACACTGAGTGTCTGTACATTTTGCAATGTAAGATATATGTAAGTGAAGTATTTTAAGAACATCATCCCAAACTCATAAATATGCATACGTACATACACACACACAAACACACGCACATCTCTCTGACATACTTTTGTGAAGCTATACAAATATATTGCCTAAAAATATTTCTCTTGTGGCTAGGAATAGTTATTGATAGAATTCAAACTACAAAGGCAAAGTATATGCCAAAATATCGACTCTTTTATCACAACAGATGTTTGAAATTAGGAACACGGCACATTCTCATCTGACCCTTCTCCCATAGGAGTTTAAAAGGGGCTGATTACCATCTCAGCTGGGAAAAGGATCAAGCCCTTTCATATAATCTTTATGTTCTGTAATAATTGTATGGTTGGAAATGGTATATTAGAGCAATTTTTTCTATGAAATAATGAAAACAGTAAACTTTTAAAGGTAAATTCATCTCCATGGAGCTTAAGTACCATTTACTAAATGTAAAAATGTAGTAAAGTGCTTTTCTTCTTTTTTTTTTTTCTTCTTTTTGTATTGGGTTGTTGTTTTTTTTTCCCTCCCCACTGTATCTTAATATCTGTCAAGTACTGAAAAGAAATGATAGAACACTGTGTTATCAAGCAACATCTACCCAAATTTGAACAAATACCTGGGGACGATCCAATATTAAGACAAGAGAAAACCTTTCATTGATTGCAGCTGAATTTGGATCATGCTGTTATACAGGAATTCTGATACCCCCACTACAGCTACCACAGGAGGAATGCGTGAGAAGCTGAATTTAGCCACTGCTATGTGGTTATTAAGTCTGGTTTTCTTCCCTCTGTCATTATTTTTGTTTATGATGACAGTTTCTAGAAGACAGATAATTCACCCATATGGAAACCATCCTGTTGAGGATTCAGACAAGATTGCTGATCAGTTCCTGATCATTCTGGCTGCTGGACTGAGCTCTGAAGTTCATTTAACTACTCTGAACAAACACTGTTAAACACTTTTAATGGATATTTCTAGCCGATCTGTATCACTCAAATATATTTCGGGTATCCTTTTAAAAATATGTATAAAACACAATCAGAAGGGAGTGAAAATAGTGGTTACTGATTTGAACAAACACCAGTTGTGGAATGTTCCTCTAGCTGTAGACAGTGAGACTTACAGTCACTGATACACCTTTTTAGTTTTGTGAAGAACAACAATGAAATCTGTGACATCACTTTCACTCAAAGGATTATGTTAAATGGTTGTTTCTGCTTTTAAAGGCCTCCAAGAAATTTGTTTTTCTTTGTTTCCAAGTACCTCATTAATATTAGATGTAAAGTGAGTTTGTTTTCAGGTTTTGGGAAGAAAAATATTTTTTCTTTCTTTTTCAGAGACAGTGAAGTATTTTTATTTAATAAAGCTATCTTCACAATTTGCATGCATTTTTTTTTTCCTGAAAACTTAACCATATCATATCACGTCATTTCTTTCCATAATGGAACATTTTCAGTGAACTGTGTAGTTGATACACACCTCTTTTTTCTTTCTTTCTTTTTTTTTTTTTTAAATTAATGTTAGATAATACAGATAGTGATCCATGTATGCACCGAAATCCTTCTAAGTTCATAGGGAGAGTCCCAGAAGGAATTGTGATAGGATGCGAGACTCCCGAGGAACAGAAAGTTTTTAACTACTACATCCTGGGCTCCCAAAATATTTAAACACTTCTGTGGATTTCCCTAGTTCACTGTGAATTTCAGTATGCTAATGTTTGATGACATGAGGTTTAGGTCACATTAAATAACAGTACCTATCTGTTAGGACTCAAAAGAAGTACTGAGAAGTGCATTTGGCCGTACAGAGGTTCAATCCCTTCCCTGTTTCTATGTTGTAGTGGGGAAGATACCTGTTGCATCCAGCCACCTCCCATTGAAATTGAATTGTTCAGCATCTCCATGTATCTCACCATGCTACTAGGTGCCTATCTGCAGTGATAGGTATGTAAATGCCTTTAAACATTAGCTCTTTGTATTTGCCTCTTCCTTTAAGTGTATGTGCTACTAATGTCTAAGGACTCTGATTTGCATATTGGGCAAAAAATAAAATGAAGTAGTTGGAAAATATTTAGGATGCATATTAAGGAGAAGTATCTACATCCGTAAGCCGGTGTAGGGAAGGTTCTGATACCTCCTTCATTGAAGATTTTCAAGAGTTCAAAAAATACCTGTCAGGGATGATACAAGTGTACTTAAACTTGCCTCAGAGAAATAGCAGGGACTAGTCTCTCAGTCCTGTTCTGTAATTTTCATCGTAAGGCATCCTGAGCTTCAAAAGATGTTATCTGTACACAGCTGTAGGAGTAAAGATGTTCTATCCTTCAATTAGGTATCAGAAGCAATATTTAATGTTTAAATTTACATTAAAAAAACTGCGAGCAGTAGAACAAGCTGTCTTTGTGAAGAACTTTCTTTAGAGTAAATGAAAGTTCCAGCACAAGACAGTGTCTTACAGAGAATAACAGAATGAAACCAGATGTGTAATTTATTTATTTATTTTTTAATTCCTGGTTTAGATGTGTAGCAATGGATATCTAAGCAACTTGCCTATTAAATTTCTTTCGTTTCTTCCAGACTGACTGTTGCAAAACCGAAAAATACTAAAATGTTTCACTACTTGAAACAAAATTACCATTATTTCATGCAGGTTTTAATTAATCTGCCCACTGAGAAGGGAGAAAAAAGAAGTACTTCCATTAAACAGTCTCAACTGATTTGAACAAGGTGTAGTAATTTTTCAACATTATTGTTGCAAAACTAAGTGGAATGTCAGTGCACAGATATATATTATTTGTAAAGATTATGCTTCATGCATTATAATCACTATATATGTGTGTGTTGGGGGGGTATGTGTGTATATAGCTATAGTTCAAAATCTGGTAAGTTGCCTCTGGATTTTTTTCTTGCAGGAGTATGCTCCTATCAGTAAATTCAAAGAGAAGGGTAGAAACACATTTATGGTACTAGAAAATTAGACTTGTTCTTTAGTGTAGAATGGAGTTTTGTATTCAACATTTGAATTCAGCCCCTTCCTCATGCATCACACCCACAATCAAACACACATTTCATTGTTTGACTTTAAACTTTCACCTGCTCACAGCAGACTTTTTTTTCTTCTTTTTCTTAAGTGCTATCATTCCTCAGGGTTAAAGGTGGATAAACAGATAGTCTTCCTAGGCTGATAAATTGTCATTGCAATTTTGCAAGGCTGTTAAATATTTATATGTCTTATGTGGAGAAAGCTGATCATGTCCTGCCATTGTTCCTTGTTCAAGTCGTAAGTTGTTTGGCACTGGGACTTTTCAATTAAAATTTATACAAAGGTGTAGGGGCCCAAGTAAATAAGCATCACTCATATACAATTAGACATAGCAATTTGATTGCAAAACGTTGGTACCAGAAGTCTATGAAGAACAGACAAGTTATTTTATTTGAAGCAAAGGGAAAGGCAGCCAGTAAGACTTTATTATGTTATGCTAAGAAAAATTCAGAAACAGTGAGTTAAATCCATTGCACTGACCCCTACAATCAGAGCTCAGATTCATATTAAAGGTCTCCTTCATTTTATTTTCCCTCTGATCTGCTGATCTGTCTTGATATGAAATGGATACATATATATGAACAAATACAGCCATTAAGATCCATTGCTGAAGCATCTGTGTTTTTGTAGATATCCTCATATGTAAGAAATGAGCAAGAAATAACGTGGACAGCTTTCTTGAATTGAAATTGTTTTTGAATTTGAATTTGTTAATAAAGATCATGATATTGTATGTTGGCTGAGACATCAGGGAAAATGAAATCTATGTGGGTGTAGTTCTCCAGAAGGCAAATGCTTCATTTAGGAAGCATCCTGTCAAAAATGTGTAAATGTGAGTGCTGGAAATCTTGCTGAGTCAAGATGAAACACACTGTGCCAAAACTTTCTTGTTCTCTGTGTTAGCACTGATTAAAATGTCCTCTGGATGGTTAACTATGGTAGTAATTCAGAAGATAGCCAGAATAGCAAAAGAGATTCAGATAACATTACCATTCTTACTAAAGAGAGGTGAAGACAAGAAGTTGAATTTGTATTAAAATACTTATTTGTATTATACAATAGGTAAAATTCAGTTAAGCCATGCAATTCCTGAAATAGTATGCTTCCAAATACATGCACTTCAATGATTAAAGTTCACCTCATCATCAGCTTAAAAGCATATTTTGGGTAACTCATCTATGAGTTGCACTAAGAGTGAAGAGTAATGTATTGTATAACAATGCCTTACAACAACACGATAAAGTGAATGTAACCAAACCAACCTTAAGTTTTAGAAGCCTTGGATTCAAACATTCAGGTTCCAAAACCGAACTGTATTTTGTATGCATCAGAGCCTAATTCCATTAAAGGCAGTGGTCCAAGCTGCAGTGATTTGAAGGGGAACAAAAAAAAGTTCTTCTTTCTTTATGCACATGCATTTTTGAGCAAGAACAATTTGCAATAAAAATATTTAACACCAAAAGATGGGAAACTTTACTAGCTCTGTTTTTAATGAGCTGTGAAATCAAGTTCTGAAATTTGGATGTGGCTATATGTCAGTTTAAAGCAGACAAGTTTTGAGTGATTTTATTTCAAGGCAAAGCTGAATTACATCTCTGTTGAGATTTTCTTAGAAGACCACAACAGAAATGCAGTCCTGAAAACATACATTAATGTTTTTACAAATGGGAAAATAATTAAAAATTCATTGGAGAAGAGTGATGATTAAAAGAGTGAATAAAGCCAGGAAAGAAATATCAGTCCCAATGATGAATGTTTCAGAAGGTTTTGCTTTGGAAGGTAACATATGTCCTAACGACCTTATCTCTTTTCAGATTTACTCTGAAAGATGTTTCCTATCACATTTTCTGGTCTAAGTTTTACTTGGGATATAGATGCAGGGTGTATATAGAAGGGTCTCCGTGTGTATGTGGATGTTTGGTGAGAATAAAATAGAAAAAAAAAGACCTAAATGAAGCCTGATGTCAAAATTACATAGTAATTCCATCTCCAACATTACAGCTTTTCTAGATTGGTTTCAGAATAATTTAGAGCAAGAACTTTATGGGATGCTGGCAGGAGAGCAGTGGTGTGGGACTGTTCAGCCATCAAGAAGAAAGAGAGCGCTTTGCTATTCCTAGTCTTACAGATGACATTAATTGGTATTTAAATAGTGCTCTTCTCAGGAACATAAATATCACAAAAAAGAAGGATTTCACCATGAGAGCAATACATTTATTATGGCTATATGCTATATACAAAAAAAAAAAAAAAAAAAAAAAAGATGATGAATGCAAGGAAACATTATTCTGCTCAAACCCCCAAAGATGAGTGTAAATGATGCCCTTGGAGCTCATGGCCATTCACTTTTTGTTACAGGCTTGGCTTGATTTATATTCTGACTAGCAACAAAGAAAGAAGACAGAGAGTGAGTGCTGGAAGAAAAAGCCAGTTAATTAATGTAATCTAGGGAGAAAATGCAGTATACCTTGAATTGAAATCATTAAACCTCACTGAGCTTCTGGGAAAAAAAAAAAAGAAAGAAAACAATGAAAAGAAAAAAATCATGTCCTTGATAATTAGATGATCTCAGAGGTCTTTTCTAACCTTTATGATTTTATGATGCTATGCCCTGTACACATTTAAATAAGATCAATCACAGCCTAGTTGAAAAACAGTGGCTGGTGACATATCATAGTCTTTCTTACACTAGGGGAGGCAGGAGGGGCCAGTCCTCAGCACTAGCAGCTCCTGGAGGACGGGGATGGAGCTTGGGGTAGGAGTCAGGATCATGTCTAGTGAGGGGAACTGGGGTAAGAGATACCACATAGAAACTTAATTTAAGCTTGCTGGGTTTCAGTTTGCTAACTGAGTTGTTATCATCAGTTCCTGTGTTTTCGATTGAGGTTTATTTCATTTTGATGATCCAAGAAGTAGGAGTAGCATAGAAACAATTCCAGGCCAAAGCAGGAAGTTTACCTTTTCTTTTTTACATAATTCTTTTTTTTTTTCATATCTCCACTGTTCAGTGATAAAGGCATGAAAACTAGTAACAAAAAGTATTGGAAGCCTGCACTGTCTTTTACTGGACTGTGGAAATTTCTTTCCTGTTTCTATTCTATCTGGAGTAAACTGTAAACCACCATTTGCATGCAGTTGTTAGTTTTTCAATTCTTCGTTTGCACATGAAATCTAAAACTGCATTGAACATGCTGCTAATATTCACAGATGTAAAGATTCAGCAAAAACAAAAACAGAAATTGTCTTATTTTTCTCATCCAAGAGAGAACCTTTTGTAGTGCAAAATCTATGAGTGGCTGGAAATTGAAAAAACATTCATTTCAAAGTTAGATTTCTATTGACTGCTGTTCTGTGTGCTTTATATCCTTTATTGGTAAGCAAAATGTACTCCAGTGTTACAGCAGATGCCTGTATTACTATCTTTATTTTACTGAAGCATAACAGAAATTTCATAATGCTGTTTATTGTAGAGGTGGGAATAGAATCTAGTTCCTAAATCAAAATAATAAGAAAACCAACGAACAACAGTGATTATAATATAAAATAATGTAAGCCCACATGGGTGCTACAATATCAACATCTCCCCACATGCAGGTTAATGAGCTAACTAGCAGTCTAGAGAGCAATATGTAATTTGGTGCCCTTGGTCTTTCTGTCAAAAGAATATATAATTATTCTTTGTAAAATGGGACAGCTTCAAAGAAAGCAATGAAGAGCTCTTCATCTTTCCACTCAGAACCTAAATCCTTCTGGATTTGATGATTAGCGAGGGCTGGGAAAAGAAAATTGTGTCTAGATCCCATCATATAAAAGAAGCATCTGTCCTCAGGGGCCAAAATTGTGGGCAAATATTATGATCAGTGTGGTATTAAAAGGGCCTCCTACAGTTCTTCTTTCTCTGGCAGTGTTCTGTTCAATACGTGTCTTCTCAGAACACTTAAAAATAGGATCCTTCAGAAAACCCAAGGTGTTAAAGATTGGGTACAAAAGATTTCCAGAGCAGGTGGTATGACGAGAGTATTTTTTCAGGACTTGAAAAACCTTTATTCAATTCTCCCTTTCTCAGATAATCCAACTTAGAGCCATTTCTAAAATTAGAGTGTTGTCTCCTATTTTGCTTCTTCATTTTACAAAAGCAACTAAGCATTTATTACTGCAGAAATTATGTACACGTGCTACCTTATATAGATGATCACTCACTAAATGCAGACTCATTTGCCTGCTCCCCAGTGAATAATATTTTATACAAAGTTTTTTCTCAATAGATATTTGTCGTTAGGTGTACAGAGTGATACTAGGCATATTACAGAACCATTAGAGAGCTTGCTTTCTTGCCAAAGGGAAAGAGCAAGCGAGCAAACCACATCTGACATGTTAGTCATATAAACGAATGTTTTATTGGAAAACACTCAGACATAATGGTGGTAAGGGCAGTCTGAAAATCTGATACTAGCAGAAAGCATTACTGGGAAGGACTTACCTGGCACTTACCTGGCAGATGTTGAAAAGATCAGAGATTTTGTACAATTGGCTAAGTTCCCAGAAAGGAAATCTTTCCTAAGTCATCCCCTTGAGGACAACAGAATTACTGAACCAGTTAGGTTAGGAAAAGTCACTTCTTTGCTGTTTTCCTCACCTAAGTATCTGCACACTAGCATTATAGGCTGGAAAGACAAAAAGAAAAAATACCTAAGAATGGGACTTTTGGAATTGCTGGTTTATAAGGAGGATTTATTCAGCCCTCTAATTCCCTTGAACTATTTTGACGGCCTCACACATCCTAAGGATGTGTCTGGTCCTGATTTCCCTGGCTGAGCCTGATCTGACCTTTACCAAGGGGCAAGGTCCCAGCCTCAGCTCCTCTGCACCCAGGCAGCAGGAGGCCAATGCTCCCAGTTTTCCTGCCTGACTGCAGGACCAGCAGTGGCAATGCCTTCACCAATACGCGTGCATCCAATCTTTTCCTACGGGCTGTACTGGTGCCAGGCACAACATGCCTTTGTTGTAAGAGATATTCCAAAGAGGGCAGAAAAAGGATTATTTCACTTTGAGATGAAGTCTTGATAGTTTTTTGTTTTTTTTTTCCTTACTGCTATGTTACTGTAAAATACTAGAGTATTTAGACTGCAGAAAATAGCTGTTTCAAATAAAGAACATTTCTTGTGCATGTGTTGTCACTAATATTTCCCAAGGTCCTTCTTCTGTTTTCTTGGTCCTGGTTTGCTCTTGCAAAGAAAAAACTTGTACCTTCAAAAGTTCTGCCTCTCCTTTTCCCCAGTTTCCTTTCCATCTCAATATGCTTAAATTGGCCTGAGAGTATCATGAACAAGCAAGGTGATTGATCAACCTTTGCTCATAGGAGAGAAATGAATATAAATTTATTTGAAGAATGTTTCTATACTCATTGGTATGAAGCTAAAATCCTCCTGTATTACTAGTTTAATCTAAATAATCAATAAGAATAAAGGTAGGTTCGTAATCTAGTTTGTACTAGTGTGATTCTTGTCTACAACAAGTGAACATCTTGCCCTGTCATTTATCATAAAGATACACTGGCCCATTAATCAAAAACTAAACAACTATTTAGAACTGAATGAATATACGTAAAGAATCCAGGAGTGCAAACATTTAAAAAGTGAGATAATAGTCCCTCTAAAAGCTACGTTACAGAATACATGAGATGATATTAAAGTGTATCTGAAATAACCTGTTTGTACTATTGAAGCAAATTGGTAATAGCTGAAGTGATTCAGTTTTTTGGCAGCCCTTCAGAACATATTGCTTTTGCTAGAGCTGAAGACCTATCCCTGCTCCCATCCTATTTCCAGGATTTGTGTTTCTCTTGGGTCTTTGAAGAAGGAGGAAAGGTATGACAGAGACTGTTATTTCTCCCAGCTGGTGAGAACACCTCTCTGGATTGATTTTATATTTTACCACCCTATTCTATTCCCCCCACAATTTATCTCAACATACAGAAGCAAAATTGGGAGAAAATAGCCAAAAATCTCAGAAGGCTTTGAACCCTTAAACAATATGGAAGATCACAAGAAGCTCGTTCAAGTTAGAAGAATCTGCTCGTCACCTTGAATTATATTAGCACCATCCTTCTGTTTATTCCCCTTAGAGTGTGTGGAGTCAAAGGCAAAATGGTATAACAAATGACACTCTGTGGCCTGCTGATTTCTGGCTGCCATTTGTATGTTAAGTCACCAGCAGCTGTCATGATCAAAAGGAGAAAGTAAGTCAGAGTTGGAGGGGAACAACACACACACACACACAAATGAGGGCTTGATTCCTTAGGGGAGAAAAGCAATATGAAGTGCAGATGGAGTGCTATAGACAACACAGGTGATGAATGAATAACTCACAGTGTTGTAAAAGGAACGTGGGGTAAGTGCTTTATAAGCGACATTTACATGTCTAAGTACTTGTGACCAAATTTGTATTGTGTTTTGCCTCTCAAAATGTGAATGGAAAATGCCTTTAAATGTCAAGCATTTTTATTAGGGTTGTTTATGTGCACTTATGCTGTACAATAGTTAATAAAAGCAGCAAAGCTTTGGAGCCTCGTAAGGTTACAGCTAGTTGTCGTATTCTTGACGTTATGCCATCTGCTTCTTAGCACAATTAATTTACCTTACTTGGACATCACCGAGAAGCCACTTTTGGGTTACCACTCTTTGGACAAGCTGGGGAGCCCTAGAGAGCAGACCATTGCTGCTGAAGCACCATCGGGTCCTTACCCAGGCTGAGGAGAGGTTCCTACATAACTTGAGACAAAGGGGAATTTTTATGCCTAAAAAGCCTTATGTTATGAATTTTTGAGCTTCCAGAGCTCCTGTTTGGGTCAGAAGGTGCTAGGTATATATGCTTAGTATTTTTCAAAAGTAAGGTAGTAAATCATAAAACAGACTGACTTCCTTTCTGTCATAATTATGTATGCAGTATTTCCATCAGCTGTATGTCAGTGTTTTCTTCAGCAAACACAGAACACACAGATGTCTGTTGGGAAGGTATAGTGAATCTTTCTTCCTCCTTTAGCTGCATAATTATGCAATCCACGCTGAGCACTGTTTTGCAGATAGAAAGTTATACATGAAACAGTGCTGAATTCCTCATCCATATATTGGATACCTTTCAACTGATTGCATCTCACCTGCTACAGCTGTGAGCTGAATGTGAAAGTGTCTTTCCATGATAGCCTGCCATTCTTCAAGAGACGTCCTTCCTGCTTGTTCGTGGTCTCTGCACAGCATTGCTTTCTCTTTGTTAGATGTATCACTTCTCCAGACTTCACAACCTTTAATAAATACATAGTCAACAAAATGCTTTCATCTATTCTTTAGATTTTGTAGCATCTCTAGAAATGATTTTTCTCCTTCTGCATGTTTTGCATAAACTTGTCAGCAAATTTATTTGCATCATTTTCAAGGAACTAAAATTTTTACTTGTTTTTCTTTTCAAATCTTTGTTCTTCCCCCAGCTCAGTATCTATTCATCAGGTGACTTGCACTATTTGGCAGAGTTTTTTAACCACTCACCATGACAATTGAACTGATCATATCTGAGCTCAAGGCTCAGATATCCCACTGGTATCAGCATAAAAGAACATCTGAATTTTTATGACAGATATCTAGAGAAGAGTTTTAAGTTCAGTCTGTGTTATGCACTGACATCTGGTTGTGTAAATTCTCAGCTACAATACACTATTTCCCAACATAGTCACCACCATTAGCTATGCATTTTCACAAGTAATGAACAAAAGCCAGCATGCCACGTTCATATATAGCTGTAGCAAAAAGCTTGTATTTCACACTGCTATCACCACTGCTGAAATTCACTTCCCACTGCCTCTCTGTGCTTACATCCACTGTTTGGTCCACTACATCCACAAACATTCAGCAAGTGTTGATGAATGTCAATGAGTGCAATTTTTTTCTGCTTGAAGGAATTCAGTTCCACACCTTTGCTTCATAAGTGTTTCCAAGTGTGTGATACGATGCCATTTTGTCAGACTGTCCCTCTGCTGCCATCTGTCACATGACAACAAAATACAATGGAATACTGGTGAGAAGATTCCAACTCTACTGCCACGTCACCAACATCCACCACTGACATCATGGGCCAACATAATAAAATAGGATCATATTTGATCTATTAACGGGCAAAATATATGCAGTATGTGAATTCAGAGACAAAATACTTTTCCTTATCATACTTGGTTTTGGACATCAGATTTTTATTTGTCTATCAATATTGTTAAAACAATAGCACATAGGATTCATATTCATAGCACTAGTATAACTGAAAGCACAAACACACTAATAAAAGATGGCCTCACCATGCTCATCTTACTGTTTAATTTGGGCAGTTTTGGGCACCTCAATACAGAAAGGACATTGAGGTGCTGGAACAGGTCCAAAGAAAGGCAACAAGGCTTGTGAAGGTCTTGAAGAATATGCCCTATGAAGAGAGACTGAAGGAACTGGGGCTGTTTAGTCTGGGAAAAAGGAGGCTGAGGGGAGAACTTATTACTCTCTTTCAATATCTGAAAGGAGCTTACAGCGAGAGCGGGGTTGGTCTCTTCTCACTGGTGACAGGTGACAGGATGAGGGGAAATGGCCTCAAGTTGTGCCAGAGGAGGTTTAGGCTGGATATCAGGAAAAACTTTTTTATATAAAGGATTTTTAAGCACTGGAATAGGGTCCCCAGGGAGGTGGTTGAGTCACCATCCCTGGATGTGTTTAAAATCCATTTGGATGTGGTGCTCAGGGACATGATTAAGAGGAGGGTTGTTAGTTAGGGTAGTATGGTTAGGTTGTGGTTGGACTTGATGATCTTTAAGGTCTTTTTCAACCTGAACAATTCTATGATTCTATGATTCTAATCATCAGAGTCCAAGGCAGAGCTTAGAGATAGAAACAGAGGATCACAAAGGAAAACATCCAACAGTGAAAAGTGGGAACCTGATCTACACAGAACTGAAATTCGGTGGTGGTACCCACCAAATGTGTGTAGGAAAGATGGCCAGCTGGCAAAGCACGAGTAGGGATGCAAAAAGTTGAATATTAGAGTTTTTCTCAGAAAAAATATAAGCCCAGAATTTCTGTACTTGTCTAAGATTCAGAGGTCTACCTGGAGTTTTAGAGCCTTGAGAAGTAATGAAGACAAAACCCTGAATTTAAGATACAGCAGGCCTTTTTGAAGATCTCAGGTTTGTGTTCTGGTTGGATATTATAGTGCATATGCATCCCTTGCAAATTTAGGTGCTGCTGTCAGGTGATTACGTATATAATATATACATAGCAGTAAGGTGCTAGATAGCTCAAGAAAAGAGATGATCAGGGAGAGCTGAAACAGAAGCAGCACTGAAACAACTCCTGGAGCTGCTTACCTGGCCAAGAGGGAGTTAATGACAGCTGAGCTCCAAATTTTCGTGCTTCACTTAAGTGCCAGAAATTCAACAAAATAAACTCAAGCCTTGGAGCTCTGTCTTCATTAGTTCCAAGATATAGAGTCCTGTGTACGGGCTGTGCATGAATCAGAGAAAGCTGTATATTTAAAACCTTGGCTAAAAAGAGTAACTGCGTCCATGTGTTGCACTTGAGTGCCGGTGCCATGGTCTGAGCCTTCGCTTGGGAAGTAGCACGCACTTGGTATACCCTCATGGATGGCCTTTTGGGGGCTGCCTTCACATCACTGCTGTGCATGCAGGACACAGCACGGTGACTGCACACTGACCCATTATGGAGAATAGGGAGGTACATTTAATCAATCTTTTCTCTTGGGACCCAAAACCCAACAGAGGTCTCAGATCCTAATTAGGCAACCAATAGCACTTGAAACTGTAACCTGATGTGGGGCTACTAATGAAGCTGGAGCTTTCTTACTGGTACAAAAATATATCTTTTTTTTTTAATACATTTTAATTGCTGGTTACCATTATTTTAAAATAGTAGACAGCAGCTGAAGTTTTAAATCAACAACACATACTCAAATACTACTGCACTTCATTATTAGCTTGGAAGAAAACAGAGCAACGATTATTTCCCTAATTGTCCTTAAAGTCATTATTACATATGCAAGTACAATTTGGTACTCTCCAGAGTCTTTCCCTCATTACACTGTGTGATTCACTAAATTACACGATTGTGATTAGTGCGGCAATCGGTGTCCAAGTGGTATCAGGCAACTACTGGGCTCCTTTTGCGGAGGTCAATTTAATTACATTGTGCATGACAGAAACCAGGCCAACTGAGTATTGCCTTTGCCACCAGCAATTGACACCTGAGTGTTAATGAGGTGGTAATTAAGAGTTGGCACAGACAGGCACATCTTAGTGTTTGGGACTGGGATTACCATATGCTTCAGTGCTTCTCTGCTAAAAGCCTGAAGTTATTCATTTTCTAAAATACACAGGATTTTGAAATAAAGGCAAATTATTACTTTTCCAAATAACAAGCAAGAAAACACTCCTAATCAGGACTGAGGGCTGTCTTTCATGAACTTTTGAGAAATCCTGTCTTTCTAATTGCAATCTTTTCACCAGCATTTTATTTTTTGTCATACGTGTTCTCACAGTAAGAACTGCCTATAATCAAGATGTTTCAAAGCCTGTTTAAAAATAAAACCTTACTGTTATGAATTTTACTGTAGTTTTTCCTAGGAAATGTAATCAGAACTAAACCCATACTGAAAGTTTCTTATAATTTAGAAACCAGTACATCATCATTTTCATAGAAGAGAATAAAGTTGAGTAACAATAACACTAACAAACAGGTATTTTACTAATAAAACACTCCAGAGACAGAAATGATAGCTGTACATTTCCTGTTTTTGTAGATTTACATGAGCTGTTCCTGTACCTTTGACGGGCTAGACTACTGTCATCTTCCATTACTAAAATGAAATGTTCCATAATGTAAGTTCACAGAGAAAAATCATATATCTGTAATTCTAAATATCCTGGATACAACTGCTCTGATTATTGATACTATTAGTGATATTGGTTTTAAATCTTCAGGGAGGCTTTTCTCAGCCAACCAGTGACTACTAGTGTTTCAAGCTTGTCTTAGAAAAACAGGAAGGAGTGGGGTTTTCTGCAGTGTATCACCTACAGTGGATGACAGGGGTCTGCTTTTGCAGAATTTATTGTGAGAAAGTAACAACAGTAGCAGGGGGGTTGGAGATTCACGTTCCTTGAGGTCCCTTCCAACCTGGGCCGTCACGTGATTCTGTGATTCCGTGTGAAACCACCTCTGAAATATAATCGCAGAAAAGCAGTATTACAGATAATCATGATTAAGCTGCAAATATTCCAATTCAAACTGATTATGATGTTCCTTAAATCTGGTTACTACGTGCAACATTAGATGTATTTTAAGCTAAATAGGTAAAGCAAGCAAGGTAAACTAAAAACATTCTAATGATTTTTAATCATTTTAAGGAGTTTGATGTGGTTAACCCTTCGTGTTCAGTAAATCTAAGGAATATTATGAGTCACCTGATTTCAGTAGCATATATAACATTTGTGGCTATAATTCCCACCTTTTGCTATACAAAAGGGCAGCACGATACAGTCAGAGCAAAACCATTTAATACAATTTATTTTCAAAGTACAGTTTTTAGAGAAGGCCTCTTGATGGATTTGTCAATTTAAAAGGC